GGGGACTGCAGTCCATTTAATGGGCCAGATCTCCAGCTACATCAGTATACAGGGGCTGAGAATTTGGGTTCCAAACTCTTTAACAGACCGTAGACCTCCAGTTCTATGCTGGTATAATTTCACTGAAAGCAATGGAGTCATACTTAGAACCTGCACTCTGATTTTAGCTTTGTGTTTAGGGTACTTTCATGGGGGTAGAAATAGACAGAAGGCAGTAGAGAGGCTTGAACCTTCTCCCACTTCTGACGAGTGATCCATGATCCATGAAGGGAGTCCCATAGCACCAGAGGTGCTAGCATAGCACCGCCTCTTCCCCTGGTGTTTAAAAAAAAAGCAGTCACTGCTTCATTTTATATAGGACCCTATACCAGGGGGACATGTTAGATAAACTCTGAGTGCCTAGTGTTTGAGGCCCTGCAGGCATTTAGGCAGAGGAAATACTATTTTCTGTATTTCAGTAGGGTTGAGGTGTGAACTAGGGGCTGAGCTGGTCAGTCCTGTTAAAATCCAGATGGTGCTACATATGTGCAGGAGTAAGGCTTCCAAGCCTGGCAGGTAGAAGCATCTAGGCAGTTTCAATGCTTCCAGGGTTAGATGTGGTTTTCAGGATTGCAAGTTTAGTTAATTTTCTTCCCATCAGCCAGTAGATGTCACTGTAGCACAACAACTTCCCATTCCAGAAAGGTGAGCACACCATGCAGCAGCAGTCTCAACCCCTGCCAAGGCCATTCCCCCTATTGATTTTTAAAGTAACAACTGCACCCTTGATAATGCCATGTACCAGAAATCTGATTAGAGCTTGAATCACAGCAAATGCAGTGTTTATTCTATAGCTGATCTCTTGCTTCTTAATAACAGATCTTTGAGGTGAAACTACAGAAGTCTTGTTTTGGAGATGAAAACAAACAACTGCCTCCATACTTTTCTGCTGGCTTCATGCAATTACAGCTAATGTTATTTGTTTAATTTGTCCACAGGAGCCTGAGTCTGTACAGCAGGTTGAGGACCTGGTTCTCATACACTTATTAAAGTTCAGCTATCCCATGGACACGTGCTCATCAGCTCTCAGTTAATTTTGGTCATTTTGCATTTGTATTACAATTAGAAATGGATCCAAGGGAGGTGAAGAGGGTGCACTTGCATTTCTCCCCTCCCACTTTGGTAGTGTGGCTCATACACGATGAGCTTAGGAGGTGGGGTTGCTGCACACCTTGCCCACCTCCCCGCTCCCCAAATCACCCGAACATTACACTACACTGTAGGGAAGTTACATGTCCAGGAGTCGTAGTATCACCAATGCAATATTTAACACTGGTCAAAGTTGGTCCAGTACAACTGGTCAATAGCTGTCCATTTTGCTTCAATTTCAGTGCAATCAGGATCTAGCTGAGTGAACACCCACTAAATCCAATGGAAGGATTTTTATTAATTTCAATGAACCTTGCGCAGAGCCATACTTCAAACCAAATCCTCCATCTTCTGGAACACAGAGTGCTGCACTCCAGCACCCACAGACTGAAGGGTTTTGTGCAGGGTTTTTGGAGTCATAAATAAAAGACAGGGGATATGCTATTTTTATTTTCACATACCAAGTATTAAAGGGTTTGCTTGTAAACTCATGTTTACAATAGATGTTGACAGTAGCTTCCATTACACGTAGTGTGTGATACATCTTTCAAATTACTCTAAGCTTTACAGAGAAATAAATACAATTAAAAATCCTCACAAAAGGAACCTAAAAGTCTGAAAAAATGCATTCAACAACTTGTGTTTTTCACCATAAGCAACCCACCTGTGCACTCATACACTCACATACACACCAAAAATTACCTAAGCCCAATTTATTCAATATAATTTTTTTAGCTAAACAGTTATAGATAGTGTGACCATTCCATGCTACTAAGCTATGGCTCAGACTCTTGCTGTTTATAGTTAATCTTTTTGTTAGAAATATGCATTGTGGATCATTTCCTATTGAAGCCAGTGGCAAAACTCCCATTTAATTCAAAGGGGACAGGTACAAGTTTTAATGAGAAATGCCTTGAAAAAAACCTTAGTAATGATTTCCCATTACATTCG